GGTTAATATTTTAATAGTGCGATTCGATATCAGGCTGAACGAGAAGTTCCTCAACGCATGCTGTGAGACAAAACATTCAATATCTGCTACCAACCTAGTTCGAAAAGCTCACTCACTCAATAAAATCCCAGGAAAGTTTCCTGGAATTTGTGGATAGGCAACTGAGGAAATTTCCGAGAAATCTGGGCTGCATTTCGTAGAATCATGAGATCATAGCAGGAGGCGCCCTTCCTATGTAATTTTTCGAACTATTCGGTTGATAATGATTTTTCGATACGGGAAGCGTCCTGCTGTACCTAAATGAAAAGCGGACGAACAGCAATACTTAATAGAGGAACATTTAAATGTCGAAATATTTTTTTTAATGTTGAAAATGAAGATGTTTTGCTGCTCAAAAAGAATGTGATAATAAATTGTATTAATAGAAACACAGTTAAGGTTTCTGCAATTTGGAAAACAAGATACTGAAATGTAAGAACATACTGAAATTTGGTTGTTAAATGAAAAGCCGATCTTAATCTACATAACTTGAAAACGTAATTGAATGAAAGTGTCGCGGCACGTTTTTAAACTTCCCTAATACTTTTAAATAGAGTTTACATTTTTTACAGATACAATTTTCCAACAGTACATATTAGTACCATTTTTCTGCAAATCAACATGAAACAGTGCATAAAGGGTATAATAAATAAATATCATGATTTTTAAGCTGTGGTTTAACTTCACTGTTACTTTCTTTGTCAAAATAATTCCGCGTTTGCAAGTTCGCAAGCACGCGTATTTCTATCTTCGGAAGTATTTCTGAGGTACCTCTGAAGGGTGAAAAGGGACGAAGAAATCCAATTTCAGAAGTACTTCTGAGGATGCAAGTCATTCGTTCTAGCAAAGCGCCAGAAGGAAACTTTATTTCACGACGACTTAAACGCCCGAAAAAATCACCAATTTCCAACAAAATTTGCAATCGGAAGTTTTTGCAAGTTTGGAAACATTTTATTGAAATATGAACGGATTTCTCGGACAAAAGTTCCGTGACACGCACACTAACCTTTTATGTTTTTATAATTCCCGTTGTTTTATATTGTTTACGTCATGGGTCGTTTAACGATAAATACACTTATTATCATTTTTTGATTAAGCGAAAACCCAAATGTATTTAAATAATTGTTACATCTATTTTAAATAGACTTTTAAAAGATTGTTGGCTTTTGCAATAATTTTCTCACTTTAAATTGAATAGTACTCTCTCTTTTATTACTTGCTTGTCGTAATTTACCGGTTTAGTTAATTAGTTAATAAGTACAAGATTTCCCGTTTTGTCTGAATTATCTGTGTTTTCTGTTCCTTTCCTTTGCAATGATTATTGTTATTTTCAATAAGAAGCTGGCAAATCTTCTAGGTGCGCCAAATTATTTTTATCGTAGCTATCAGGTCAGTCTCAAAATCCTACTTACATCTATCATGCATGCTCAAACACCATCGCTTCCATGTTCAGTCTGTTCTTAAATTAATTCTTGGTTTCAGAACTTACAGTTTCGATACATAATTTATTCCAATAGTCTGCCACTCGTTTTTTAATCGTGTTGACTAGTTTATGAGAAATATACTAGCCGTGAACTCACGGAAGATCTTCAATGGTGCAACAAAATCATCCCTCATTCAGCAAATTTTAAGTAAGTAAATTTTAAATAGTGAGACTGAAAATAACGTATTTTTTTAAACCTGTACGTAGTTTGGTAGTTGTTATGTGTACTTTTTTAATCATTTGTATGTATTTGACTCCAGATTTTATAGATGTATCCGCGTTTGGATATAAGATAGGACTTACAAATACGTAAGATTGATTTCCAACAATTCTTGAATGCCTTTGGTATGAGATTCATTTATATGTACTATTTTCTGTATTATCTTAAATAATCGTTCGAACTTTTCAATTTTTAAATGTTTGCTTTGATGCTATCAGTAATAAAACGTTTATTCCTTTATCATAAGCCAGGTTGTACTTTGCCATATTATAATCCTTTAACTCCTCTATTTTTACTATCATTTAATTATTATGTAGGTACTCATTTATTTATTATATATTTACTTTACTTAATTAAATAAAATTTGTGCATTATAATGCGACAAAAGAGTCTTGAAGTTAAGGTAAAAATCATGGTGATAATTATGTTGTTTCAGCAATAGTGTTGAAATTTCCTCGACAATTTGGTGAAAAATTTACCATTTCTGGTCGTAATGAAGAACGGGTGAATTGAGGTTTCATCAATTAAGTGCAAAAATATCCTGTAAATAATATTGATTATTATTATGTATTTTATCGTAAACTGTTTAATTTTAATAAGAATGAAAACAATATGATTAATGATGTACAGAAAGGATTGGCCATAGGGTTGCAAAGAGCGACGATTTTCCTCTAAGTTTTGTAATTTTTGCTAAGTAATTTGAGATTTCGTTCGAATGTTGATCTAATATCTGGATAAAAAAGGTTAAAAAGTTAATGTCTAACTTTGTTAAGTGGGCAGAAAACAGAAATATATTTTTTAGCAAAAACTATGAATGCTATAAGATTTTACAAAGAGCAGAAAATTGTGAATAAATGATTAGTGCATCAACAAAAAAAAAATGAGTTGATTCCATCCACCAAATAAAAAGTTCTGGTGGTGTTCGTACCACGGCACTCAAGAATTCAGCACTAGTTCAAAACGGATTTAACTCGTTTGTTTCATCAAAATATGAGTCTTACATAAGAACAAATTCGCAGCGAGTTTCACTAAAATACATCGTACCATTCTCCCGATCTTTCAAAAAAGATATTTTTTTTGAAGAACTTTGACCATCAATAGCAGGGGAGCTTTTGTTAATAAAAGTTAGGTCAGATCGTCTTCTTTTGATACAAATAATATCGCAGTATCCTTTTGATCATGTGCTTACGGGACACCCTGTATAAAAGTGGTTTGTAAAATTTTCTCTGTTTCAATTCTCTTAAAAATCATTCTGTTTGAGGTATTATGGAAGATTTATTTAAGAAAGTACCTAATTTTTATTCATTTTTAGTATGATCGAATTGAAACTAAATTTTGTACTAAATTCCAACACGTAGGTAACTAATTGTATTCAAATCATTTTTTCTCAGTCTGAAAGGAAGATGTTTTAAATATTTAATTGTTTGACATATTTTGCTATTTATTTACTTAATTACTTAGTTACAAACAACCTTATCACGGCGATTGTTGCTTATTCGTAAAATCTGATATTTTTAGAACAATTTGAGATTTTTTTATTAATTAATGAATAAAATTGCAAAGAAGAAATTTTTAACGAAAAAAATATTCCAGACATTATACCACAGTCAACACATTGCTTTGAAAAATGCAGCAAAGTAAATTTTCTTTAAAGGTTCGTGGCATGTCTTTGAAATTGATGTACAATTTGAAAGATAATAAAAAGTTTCCTTCCATGGTATATCGCATATCGCCAAATATTAAGTCCGATTCTCCTCCTAGATGCCTTTTCCTGTGAGCCATATTTTGACCTAAAATGGACCATCGTGTACATTATGCATCGTGTACATTATGCTGTTCGTTTTTGAACAGCTAGCAATAAAATATACCAAATTTACTTATTCTTATTTTATTTCATTTAAATTCTGTACATAGATTCTATCAATTAAATAATATACCTACAATAGAATGGCTCCAACATAATAGATTCAGAATTTTACAACAATATTTGCCTCAAATGCTAATATTTTTGATTCTGAAAGAAGCACTAATTGTAAATCGGTATACATCGTTATTCTTAATTGTTACATTTAATTAAGTCTCTAAAGGGCCTCATAATAATAGCAAATCAATCTAATTGAATTAAAAAATAAATTTAAGTAATCGAAAAGTTTAATATCTGTCGTATTACTCAAAGAAAACTTACTTAATAAGTTAAGTAGGTAGTAGCATTTAAGTAGTACGTTTTGAGTCAATTTGATTTATTAATAAAATTAATACACATTGCTATATATCTCTCTATTTGAGTATTATCTAATTTACCATGGAATAACTGGTCACTAGCTTTGTGAACTGAATCATGCGCAAAAACACTACATACTTTAACGTAAGATAATCTGGGAATATAATAACATAGAGCAGAATAGAATACACAGTCAATACATAGTGTTAGACTTGTATTTATATCAGAGCACTGAGTAATATTTACGAACAGTTTTAAGATATGACTATAGGAATATCGAATGGCATTCCGAGATGATGGTCTCAATTATGTACCCCAACAAAATTTTTAAGCCTCATCATCGCTTCGGCGCCTTCGTCCAGGGCCTCCTGCAAAATTAGCTGCAGCTAAACCCATCAGATGTTTAGCTGCCTGAGATCCGGAAAATCCTCGGCCTAGTCCTAAGTCAATTCCCCGTTTTGAGCTGGTAAAAATAAGAAAAATATTAATAAATGAATTATGTTTGTTTGTCATAAATAGGGTGAAAATAAGTCATTTTTTTGCTTTAGCAATTCACCTTTTCAAGTGTTTCAAACTTTCCTCAATTTGGGTGCTTGTTTAGACCGAACATTATTAGATATATTTGACGTCTATTTCTCTCGACCTCATTTTTGCAATTCAAGTAAATTAGGCTAAATTGGTTAAGATTTGCGATCAGACAACAATACGAGTACCTATTCAATGGGGTGGAAATATTTATAGTCAAAGGGATAGACGCATGTGATGTAAACTGTTTCAAATTTCGAGGTAGTAATTGTTGTCTGTTAGGTGTTTATTATTTTATATGAAAATTTGCTTGTTCATATTGCATCAAACAAAGAAGTAAAAGGGTTGCACATTGCAAAGTGCAAATAAAAATAGACGCACACGTTTACAACTGTTACATAATTAAATAAAATAAGCACAGCTTTTTTATCGCCAATCTATCTGAATATGCGCTTTCGCTCTAACTCAATGTCTTCAAAATTAAAGAAAAAATATGCACTAGCTAAGAATACAGCCACTAGTATACAATACAGACATTGGGAATACCTACATTCAAAGAAATACATGTGCTTTTTAAAATTTTTATTCATGCTTAATGTATGAGTGTTACATATCTCAGTCTTTAATCATAATTATACTAACTTAATTAGATCCCACGCACTTACAACCACAAAAAATATATGAACAAAAATATCAGTATTCTAATAATGTAAAATTTCCCTATATTTGTCTTGAAATAATATCGTCTGCTTATACAGTTAATGCGGGTCTATACAAACACGGAAAATCTACACAATAATGTAGAATTTCAGTATTGTTTCGAAAAATTACTTTGGTAGCCAAAAAAGTTCAGGAATAATTAAATTTTTATTAATTCTTTCAAAGCAAATAATTGATACTGGTAAATGGTAATTGGTAAAATCAACAAGTGTATGCGTAAGTGGAAATAGAACTAATTAATACATAACTCAAAATATAATCTCACTACTGGGAACTACTTTGATTGCAGCCCTGTTTCATGTTTTACTACAATATACATGCTAATTAACTAGTTAATTTCTGAACATACAATTAGCAATTCCCCTTAAATCAGAAGATGCTTTAACTACTGCAAAGTGCGTGCGAAAGAACATGTGTGTTACTCAAAGGGGAAATACAACTATTTATTTTCTAGTAAAAGGAGAATTATGCATTAATGAAAAAAGCATGCACTGTTTGCTTAAAAACTCATGCAATCAAGGTACCAAAACACATTTTTTATGTTTTATATCTCTAAAGGTAAATATCGCTGCGGACTTTTAATGGTTTACTGCGGACTTGCGGCCCTTCGGAGGCAGCAGAGAGCCCTAACAGGTGGTTGAGGGCAATTTGCCCCGAATACTCGCGTCCATAGCCAAAGTCCAGGCCACGTTTCGAACTAAAATAAATTTTGAATACTTACACAATGAACTTCAACTATGTATATATTTTTCACTTATTTTATACTTCATAAACCTGTAATAAGAAATGAAAAGTGAACTAATTAATTTACGTAATCGTAAGAAAATTTAGGGGAACTTGGAGTTAATGTCTTATATTGTTAAGTGGCAAGAAAACAGACATATTTTTTTGACATAAAAAAAAAATTAATTGATTGTCTGATTATAAATTAGTGAAATTGAAAGAAAAAACAATTTCGTCTTTATCTGAATTCTTATTTTTTCGTTTGATATGATAGCATTGTAATTAAAAAAATGGGAATCAATTATCGGTTTGATTGTCCGATTTAATACTATTTCAAAAATAAAACCGCATAATAGTCGAACAATTTCTTGAAAAATTTTATAAAACGAGTTTTATTCATTCTGAAAATTGTAACTAGTTTAATCAGGAACAACCATTTGTATATTTCCAGAATTATTCATACAGATGAAAACATATTTGGAAAATTTCTAATAATAAGTTCACAGAACAATCCCTAGAACGAGTCACAAAGCTCATATACTTATATGTATTCGTAAAAGGCAATTTGTACATATTAGTGTGCGTCGTTTTGTTGTTTTCAAATGTTTTCGACTAATTTTGTAACTACAGTAATTTCAACTTTGCAAAAGGCACACTAACTTTATTTGTTCAAATTCATCATCAGTTCTCATTCAAATCTGTTTCCTAGTAGTTATTGAATTAATACAACCGTATCGTTGACAGTTACGCATTTTCGGACATTCTTAAATACATACAGTGTCTTCTATTATTACACTGAAGAATTTCTAGAAGATTGGTCCTATAGTTCTGAAGTTTCTTTGTCTGTTTATCCTGTTCGTATGTATATCAAATGTATCTAGAACAAGGCGTGGCGCAGCGTTATTATATAGAGCCTTTGTTTCCATAAAAAATGTTTCCATAAGCTTTTGCAAGAACTTCTTTTCAAACAGATTACTAAAAGCTTGGCAAATGAAATTTACCACCGCCATGGAAATCCCATCATTCTATAATGAATAAATTTATTTTAAGTTCTTGGCTTAATAAGTTTCACTCAATATTGCCAAAATAAATTTGAACAAGCACTTGCTCTTAGCCTTGAGCTTTGACTTTAGCTTTCCTGCTATAATCACGTTAATCCGCCACCCAACTAAATTAAATTGTCATGGTTTATTAACTTGATGATATTGTGTCATAACATAAAACTTATGAACGTGATGGCCTGGTTTTGAAGTCATAAACTTCGAATGTAACGTCACATAAATTGGGGTGAAAGTTTTCAAATGTTTATTAAACGCAGTTCGGTTACCGACGGTTTTCAATTCACATGTTGAATCAACGTAAATAAAAATCTACAATTGTCAGATAAATATGTTTATTAGCTAGAAATTGAACTAAAAGCGGAACATCATAATCCAGATTACGCCGTCTTGTACTCAATTATCGTTATTTGCCTAAATGGTTCAGTTCGGTTCGTAAAGTCATCAGACAATTTTCGATACTTCCGGCATCTGATTGTCTGGTTCCAAAATCCAACTGGGCTTTTGACATAATTTCAGCACAATTCACTAGAGATTGTTTTCGCACTCTAGGTTCCATTGTATTTGATTCAGGTACAAGTTCCGGTTTTTCAGTAATGGTACTGTAAATGTAAAAATTCAATTAAAATAATTGCCTTCAAGTCGAAGATAACGAGTTGAAACAAAAGCATGATGCATTTGATTAAATGAGTGAATTTTACATAAGTATCCATATACACTACACTAAATAGAATTAAATCACATATTTACCGTAGATTAGACTTGCACATTTAGCTCAAACACTTAACGGCACTACATAGTATGATGCTATAGAAATAACGAAAAATTACACAATTAAATCAGTGCTCAATGAATTATCCATAATTATTAAAAGCCTAATTATGCGACGTGAATGCTTTAAATCTTGAGTAACATGTAAATCCGCCTGATGGTTGTTCGTTTTAATAAAAACAGCAGGTTGAAACACAGTGAAAATCAATCGGGCTAAAGGACAATTTCTCAAAAAAAAACAAAGTGGAGCAAGTATAAATAAAAGAAAAACAAATGTGAATGATGCTGTTTATTGTGAAGAAATCAAATGTGAATAAAGTGCAATTTGAAAACAAATAAAAAGTATTTCTTAACGTGTTTAATAAGATTTCTTAGTCGTATTTAGATAAATTAGCTTCAAAATACAATATTAATTAATACACTTAAGAAATACTTATTTAACAATGCAGGATACATAATAAAACTCATCCTAAGTGGGTCCAATACCGTAGTGCGTATTCCCTTTGCCCTGTGTGGTCTCGTTGCGAACCAAAATCTGCTGTTCTTTTTAAGGTTCCATCGAGGGTAAATCTATTTACCTGACTGCCACGAAGTTCAGCAATTTGTGACCTATGATTTAAATAATTGTTCACTATTGGCGATTTCATAGAAAGTACAAGAAAGTGAAAAAATAGCAATTATCAGTCTAAAAATTAAACGTTGTTTTCATAAGGTGCAAAGTAAGGTTTGTTAAAAAGATTTGCATTTTTGACAAAAATGATGTACCGGTGATGAAATGAAAAATCGGTAAAAATTCGTTTTTTATAGAAATTTTGTGCAATTTAGATATTTTCTTACTATTTTGTGTTCCTGCTTATAGTTAATTTATTAATAATGGTCAGTTAATCATTGATAATGTATCGAATCTGAAAATCTAATATTCGTAAACAGAACTTTTATAATTTCAGTATAAACATTAAACTATTCATGGGATGTAACTGACAAAAAAAAATCTTAAAAAGAAAAATTTATAAGATTTAAACTACTTCATTTTGCGATTTGAATTGTAAGGGACAAACACGTTTAAAATATTAAAAGTATACAAAATATTAGCGCTAAAAAACGGCAAGCAGCAATTTGTAATAAAATAATTTAACATTGAGGTAAAGTAATTACGCACTGGAAGCCTGAGAAGTATTAAGGTATTAAGCTTCTTGTCACAAAGTATTATAGTTCAATGTTTCTAAATTTTCAATGCCTATAGTTTATTGTTTATTGTGAATGAAAATACGGGTGCTTTTGAAAAAAATATTCACATTTTATCTAAAATTTGAATTCAAAAATACTTTTTGTTTGCTAAACCCATCCTTTCAAGATACTTTCTTAATGAATGCATTTTTTAAATGCACCTACATTTTAACTAATGGAAGATCGTCTAGAGATACATTTGTATGAAGATTTAAGACCACCAAAATACACTTACAAGACTGTAAACAAAAACTGTAGACAAAAAACAAGACTGTATATGAAAACATCGCTATATCACGTGCTAGCATGGCACTTTCGCAATTCCCTCATTTATTCTAAAGTCCCAGAATATTAGCTGTTTATATTTCCAAATGCGTTTCATACTTATGTAGAAAATAAGTTTTTCTAAAAAAATTACATACCTCTTGGCGTTGGATTGCTTTTTGTCGCCATCGCTGATGTTTTCAATTAACATCAGTTTGAGTTTTTCCTGATAATGTTGAAACCAAATGTCGAAAGCTCCTTTACTCAGTTCGAGCAGATCAGATATGGCCTGGTCAATATGGTTCTTGCTGTAAAATAGGCGGGCAATTTGCCTATTAATTGGATATCCATTCGTGTTATTATGTATTGCGACTAGGCACCAAATGAGAAATTATGGTCATTTGAACAGTCATGAACTTGACCAGGATTTGCGCTGATTCGATTTGGGCCAGAATCGTTAAAGGCATTCTCATTTGTTGCATTTGCAACGATATCCGTACCTCCAAAACCCGTTTTGCACTAACCACATTTTGCACAGAACACATACACATTATAGCACACGTAAAAGCCGTTTGAGCGTGAGAACATTTATTTTGCACACGTATTACAATATGGACTTTTTGTAAAACAGAAAGCTGGTGTCGCGGGATTTCCAAAATTATTCTCTGTGTGAACACGGTGTACGCTTATTAAATTAACCGCAATAGTTTTATTAACTTGCTCCAGCTGCATGAAGCTGGTATTGGTAAATGACATTGCAGTAACCGTAATTCGTATTATTTTTCAAATATTAATTTGTAGTCGCTGCTGCAAAGCAATTCAGCACACGACCAAAGAAAATTTTATTATTTCAGTGGACATGGTTTTGCCATGCCCATTTAATTTTATTATGGCATATGTGATCCGAAAACTATACTTCCTAAGAAAAGTCGGTCTTTTTAAAAATGTCTTTGCTTGACTCTCTTTGAATATAAATTTTGATGTAGAAATGGTGTTTTCATTCTAAGCATATGCGTCAGTTTGGGATCTATTTATATTATTAATTATTTTTGTTACCTTACACTTTTTGTTTTTTTTTCGGATCAAAATAGAAAACTCCAAAGTATTTTCCAGTAAAAAGCTACTCCTGTCTCAAGTGGCTAGGTAATACTGAAACATTTTTGGATAACACGATTTTCATCAAATCGTCATGAAAAAATCTCAAAAATTAGCTCTCCTCGTTTACCGGTCTTGTTTTCGGATGCTCTGTATTTTGCCCCATATACTGCTCTTCAAAGGGCACATGACTATTCCTGAGTTAACTTTATGCAAACAATATTTGTTCCATTAGTCGATTTTATTTTTATTTTACAAATCGCTCTTTTTTCAACACCCTCAAACTTAGAGTTAGTTGCTTTGTGTAATGAACATAATTAGATATGAATTTCCCGCAAATCCAAGTTATTTTGCAGTTAAATTTTAATGTTTAGTGGTAGCGATAGAAAATGTAAAAACTATGTTTAAATCTTGAACACGGACTAGCTAATACAGACATGAAAACACGCGAATACAAAATCACTCAATCAATGTTTTTACTATTGACTATCTGATTGCTATTGAAATTTAATTCTGATCTTAATGCGGATTTTAAGAAACGTTGTATACAGTAATGTCTTCAATACACAAAACACATACTCTGTTTGGAACATCTCCAATAAAATGCTCCTGCTGCGTTTAAATTTTAGGTTCAATTTCAATCCCAGAGAAGGAAAAGCTTCGTCGAGAGAAAAATTAGAGCTAAAAGGGTAGCATTTTCCCACTTTAAGAAAGTTCGAAATTCAATATTTCATTCATGTTTGTAAATAAAATACTTTTCTTTATACAAACTCCGGAAATACACGTATTACGTCTGTACTGTCTCTAATGCATGACCCTTTATATTCCAAATCCATTATATTATTCATTAATATATCCATTAATTATATTTATTCAATAATAATTTTGCTTTTAAATTCTTCGTACTTAATTTTTATGGTTCCTATATTTCTCTCAAGGTTTTTTCGAAAACCACCGCAAACCGACACTGAAAAACTAAAAATGTATTAACTTGTTTTAATGGTAAAAATCAAAACCACGACATATTGAAAATAGAAAACAAATCAATCAATAATCCAACTAAGCCCTATTCTGAAGTACAAATTGGGACAATTTAGAATAATGTCTGTAATCCTGTCCTGTAATGGAGATTCTCTGGAATGAATGTGCCGGATAAGAAGGAAACTTTGGACAGAGTAAAGACGAGGGTTTCAGGGCAAAACCGACATATTTTCAGGTATTAAAGCGTAATTACGCAATAGACTGATCTACAGGAAAGGCAAAGTAGTTAAGGTATTTCCTAAATTGTCAAGTCAATAGTCATAGTTTCAGTATTGAGGAAAAGATGCGTGGGTATTCAGTTTCAGGATCTTTCAGTGCAAATAGCGTTTAGTATTTAGTACTTTACTGCCATTTATGGGGCGTTATGCCTTAAGAAACTCACACTAGCTTTATTACTTTTAAAAATCAAGTTAAAATAAGCAATAACAAAGTCATAACATTAACAYAGTTTTCAAAACTACTTTTCAGAATCATCACCTAAMAGTAAAAATATTTTTTAGAAAAGGCTTTAATCTAATTCACAGCTTTAACTGAAAATATATTTAGAAACAGTTTTTATTGTTTGATTTTTTAAAGCCTTAGTACAGTATTTTAAGAAATTGATTTTGTAAATTATACAGCAAAATTTATGATTGGTTGGCAAACTATGGAAAAACTTTCGAAAATATAAGAAAAAAAAAGAAATATAAAATTATACGCCACTTCAAAACATAACAGTTATATAATATTACAACTTGCATACTTTCAAATTGAATTAGTTGAATTCACTTATGCGAACTAAGATCGCAAACATTCCTGTTTTTGCGCAACGCATCCCAGCTAGGATTTTGCATATATTCGCAACTACATAGTGTTTTGCAGCAAAGATTAAAAGACTAATGAAACTTCGTTACTGAATATATTTGAGGGGAAAAGCGATCAAGTGTGTGGGATGCGAGTAATCCACATCACTATGGAAAACTTAATATTTGCTACAAGAAAATTATTTGATGGCAACGCGAAGGTTGCAAAAAAAGCAATGTGCGATTTGTTCACAGATTCTGTTACAGTTTTGAAACTTTGGAATTTGAAAATTGACTTAAAACATATTTTTTATTATTTTCCATAGTGTTTTCCACTATGCTGATAGATCAGTCAAATCGTTGTTGGTGACCGTTATAATACAAATTTTTCTGCTAAGAGCAGATTGTGCAATTCGGACCTAGAAGTTCACTCAGTTTGCAATTTTTCTTGAAAATGTTATATTGTTTAAAATCAATCAAAAAGCAATAAAATTAAATTTGAATTGTCATTTTCGCAAACTTCAAAATTTTTTTGCTCAAAAGCTTTATTAAAGTTTGATAAGAGAGCCAAAAAAGACTGATCTTGTTAGAAGAGAGCATCAATTACCAAAAATATTAAAAAAAAATAATATTGTTACATTTTTTTCCGGACACTTTATATAAGAAACGTTGCGATTATATTGAATATTATTAATCACCTTCGGTGATGGTAAATTTAAAATTCCGAGAAATTTTAATAAAACATGATATATCGGTATCTAATTTACGGAAAGCGTCTCGACTATATAGGATAGATAGGTATGTTTACCCTGGGATCGGGAAATCAATTTGCAAAATACGTATGTGCTTTTCAACAAAAAACCGACGAAGGAATAGTGTCCGATGAAATTAGTCTGTAATATTTTGAGAGCACCTAATTGGGTTTTCGRTAATATAATAATTCCATACAAATGTRATTATTTCAAMTAGAAGTCGATTTCATTCTAGATTAGATGGGTCAGGATAGATTGGGAGAATAAAATTCAATTAATTATATTCACATGATTGTATAAGGAGGAATTAATTAATTAATCCATAATTTAAAATTTAGTGTTTTAACTACTTAAATAAGACCAAGACACTTATTTGAAATGAAAATTGAATAATCTTGAACTTTTATGTTGTTTACAGTCAATATAAAATGTTGATGTAAAGTTTGCCACTCATTATGTTTCCTAGGAACCTGAATTTTTAGTTAAGAAATTGCATTTCTTTATTATGTTATTGTAAACAATGTAGCTATTTTCGAAGAAACATTTTTGCTTCCAGATATCTTTTACTTTCTAGATTTTGAAGGCTTTAGCTCAATGCAATTTTAATTATTTTACTATTTCTGCAACTGCCGTTTCTACTTGAATGCTTCTTCAGCAGCATTAACTTTTTGAGGAAAGTGCAGCGGGGGTGACAATATATTTTTTTTCCAGTTTGTTATTACTATGAAATATTATTTAAATTCCCGGTCTTCATTTATCTAAGTCCAAAACTATCCATTTATCGGCTTACGATTATATAGATTTTCTCCGGTATTCCGAGTATACGCGTTCAATTTTCATTCACATTCTTATACTTTATTTTCAGATAAACATTGTTGGAACATTGTTAAACATTGGAAATCATATAAGTCTCCAGTGAAAGGCATTATGCAAATATTGGTTCGTGAATAAGCTGCCCTATTTTAAAACAGATGAAAAAAATCTATCAAATTCTGTTTTCAAAAGTTTAGAAAAAAGGACATATGAGACAGATGAAACATATAAAATACGATTACCCTATTGGAATGGTAAAATTATTGATCTTTGAGAAGATGAGAGGAAATTTACACAGTTGACCACTTACTTACAAAATTGATAAAATTACATTTAACTCACATTAAATTATTTTTAAAATATCTGAACTGCGCACTGATTAACACCTAGTAAAACATCCACTGTAAATAAATATGTAAATGTAGCAAGAGACAATTTGCATTATTAAATTGCAGTTTGTATACCGTTAAAAGCTAAATTCGAAAGTCGAAAAACAATTCAATTTAAAAATATTTCTCGTTTGCTATCACTGAAATGACAATACACAACGGCGACATTATTAGGCTTGGCTGATGGTTTTTTCATAAATATTTATCTTTAATTACAAAACATTGCTACAACAAAATGCTATTAAAAGCAACATAATTGAGGAGAAAGGGAACATCCGCACAGAAGAAATAACCTCTGAGGCATTTCGCACGGTAAATAACAATCAATGAACCGGCTAAAGTTAGGCGTAAAATCGCTTATCGTGTCAGTAGTAAGATAACTAATACTGGTGTTAGCAGTAAGTGTACAATAAATGAGTGTTTAGAGTTTCACTGACCTAAAGAAATTATTTTCGATAAATGGGAAATTACGACATATTCATTCAAAGCAATAAGCTGCTCAGTGTCTTATATAGTAATATGAATATTTGCTAATAATTCGATTATGTATATACTTATTTATATAATTTTTAATACTTTCACTTAAACGCTTATTACATTCTTAATATGTTTTTTAATAGCGATATTTTTTTAGAATAGTGGTAAAATTTACTCACTTTTCTAAATCGTTGTCTTCAATGAAGGCTTGTTTAATTCTTTCAATCAGCTGTTCTTCTAGAGGGATCGATGCGTAGTACGCCGAGTACCTAGAATTGACATATATATTTAAATATATTTATTACATTTGCGTTATAAAACCCTTTTAAAAAATAAATTGACGATATAAAATCAATTTCTGTAAAAACCCAAACAAATAGGGACATATTTTTTATAAAATTAAAGACCTAAGTCTAGAAATATCCTTCTTTATGTGGTTGAATTTGCCAAACATTATATAGGTACAAACATTATGCAAAAATGAAATTATTCGTTATTATGAAAAGGGTCCATCAATTAATACCTAATACATTTTGTCAACATTTGAAAACGGTTACGTAAGCGTACTTAATGGGCCTTTTCAGAAATATATGAACGAAGAACCGATTAGGTTTCTATTAAGTTTTTCCTACGATAATGGTTAGGTGAAAACCCCTGACACTCCAAAATGTAAAGCGTTTTTAAGGTATGTTTATATAACACTTGGAATTGAAAAAATACCATAAGCGGATTATTATTATAAAGAGAATTATTTATTTATAAATTAATATAGTAAACTAAATTTGAATCGTGCTCGCCTTGAAACGTTTTTAATTATTTAAAATTACAAGTGCATTTTAGTATTATATACAAAACTGTGCTCTTCTCCAATTGAAAATGACATTAAATACAATAAAACGTCTTTCTTCAATATCAAATTGCACTATTAAAAACCGTTAATTTTGTTGAATTGTCTGATTGCAAGGCGAAGCAAACGTTAAATATTTCGCGTCAATGTTTTTTTCGGTGGCATTTGGCTTAATTTTCTGCAGAGCGAAGTGAAGTTTACCGACAACAAAATACATACATTTATTTTTCTTTCTGTTTTACAAATTTTATTTATTTAAACGTATTTGAAGTGTGCTTGTAATGAATTATGGCTATTGTTATTACTGTTCCTTCCTTTATTGGAGCTAACTAAGGAGGAGACTTGTTTTAATTAGATTAATAAACTATTACATTTGTATAAGCATTAGACAAATTATATTAAATTTTCTGTTTGAAATTTGCAAATTAAATTTTCAAAACTTGTAATTAACTTTTTATAACGCACTTTGAATAGCTACAAAAGCAAGTCCGGGTGCAGCTTTGATTGTATACAATAAAAAGACCAAACTGGTCTTTTGTTTTCATTATTTTTTTTAAATTTACTGACTCAATTATTAAAGCTGCTTACAACAAATCATATTCTTGTTCTATTCAAACGTGTTCAAATTGTGTTCTGTTCTACGAACGAACGGTTTCTTATGCATTGCTTAAGCAAATATAAAAATGTTCATAATATTTAAATATTAAAAACATAAACAACGCTTTGGCTCACACTCACTGCATAACGGTACCTCAATAAAAGTTGGTTTAGTTTTCGAAACTAACAATATACGTTCCAAAATTGAACTATTTTCACTTGATTTCAAATGAATTGCAGAAGTTTTGAATATGCTAAATCTTTTATGTTGCAAAGTTACTTAACAATGAAATGCAAAATATTGGTTAATAGTGAAGCTAAACTAGCTGTAGGGAAATCGCGAGGGAAAAGGCTGAATTTCCTGCGGGCAACATTATTAAACTTTACAAGGCTTTAAGTATCTTGACATACTGTCTTCTGTTCTCTTGTTTTTATGATTTGTTTAATGATTAATCATGTGAAATGCGATGAATTCATTTATGAATAACCAAAAGTAAAAGATTCTATCTTAGAAAGCTTATTGAAAGTCAACCATGAAAAACGCGGTACTTATGTAAGAATGAAATGAAATTTATTCTTTCTGAACTTATACGTCAATAATAATGCTTATTCCTCGATCGAAAGATCCGGAAACCACTTCCATTAAAGTTTAAGTGGAATTCCGCAGCTCTAACGTTTTCTACAATGACGGTAATAGTCTCAGATCGATGATTTTTGCAACGAGCCTTCGTTGCATTTTAACTTTAGTAACAGTCTGCTAAAATAATATACAGTTTTATATACACAATTTATGTTTAACCCAGATATTGTATTAACTAATGATACAACTCATGAAACTGTAAATTCAACATTTTAATCAGGTTATATGAGTTTTATTTAAAGTTTAGCATATAAATACAATTTTTAACTTAATATAGAGATGCAAAGGACATATGTTCTCACTCTTACTAGATTATTTTGATCTTCATGAATATAAAATCAATCGCTTTACTTCATTCTGTAAGCTTGAGCAAGTCACAATTTTTTATTGCAATTTTTAGCCTCCCATTAACTATTAGTTATGGGAGGATTGTCATCAAATTACCTTGCTGGGTATGCTGAAGCAAATGTTGTAGTTAATTCCAAAACCAAAAGTGCGGCCAACGCCAACATAATCAAAGATCCATAGTTGCCGCTTGATGATGAATACTTCATGGTCTGTAAAAAAATAAAATTTAAGCCTAATTCCTAGAGCGAAATATTATATATGTTTAAAATAGAAACGGATGCCTGGGCTGAATTGTTTATTGAAATCCACAGCTAATTAGTTTTCACATTGATGTAGAGGACAATTTAAAGAACGAAGCCGTTTAATCCCTGAAACAGGTTATTGCAGGTATTTGTATTTTCCAAATCCAATTAATCCGCACAAAACTGCATTGGCACTTAATTCCCTATGCATAAAAATTATTTTTATTATAAAAGTTTATATATTTTATTACAGAATTTAGTTACATATTTAGAAATATTAAATTTAGAGATGGCAATTTAATTTTAAATGGACGTTATTAGGAAATTACCGGAGATTTTTACACTTTTTTAACTATACATGAACCTCATTTACCAAGCATCTAATGTAGCGAATGTAAAGATTGTTGGTTTAAAAAGTGGGTTTTACTTAGTTTTTGGATTCAAACTCAGTTTTTCATTGTTACTTAAACTTCAGGGAAACTTCAGGTTAATACAACTAAAGACGAAAAACTAAATAGATATATGTAGACATGATTGACATGATCTATTCAGGCTTTCTATTTATGATAAATAGAAAGCTTGAATAGAATTTGAATAAAACTTTTATGAGTCAAAATAGAGTCGCTCATCAGTTTTGAAACAAATCTACATGAAATAACATGCACATTGTAATCATACTTTTACGAAGAAATACAAGTACTGGTCAAGGTAATTTTTCGTTGGCTTCAGTTGTCCAAAGCCAAGTTTTAAAGAAATAATGGTAGACGTTATTTTATAAACATGTGCATAGTTGAAACGCTTTATTTAATTTCCTTTTAAGAATATTTCAACAGTAATCATATTTTGAATTCTGCAACAATATCAACTGAGTTATGACTAGTTTGAAGTTAAGAGAAGCAAATGATTAATATTTATTTTCGTATAAACATCAGTGGATGCATAGAAATTGACATCAGACGTGTGTATAACAAGTTAGCATATAGCACGAAATATTTAAAAATTATTATTGGCAAATTAACAACAAAAAGTAGATGAGATCTAATGATCAACGTAATGTGATTTTCGTAGTTCAAAAATGTAAAATTACCCATCTTTATCGAAATTGTATACAGCATTGTGTAAATTTTCTGATTGAATTGCAGCATTGAGTTAAAAAGTAATTTATTCATCTACCCTTTTTCGATCTGCTATCAAAATCAATTTTTTTAAATTATCATACTGTTCCTAATCCTCCGTGTTAAAAGCAGGACATTTTAATGGTTAGAAATAGTACTATTCTCTAAAACAATTGTTTAAGCAGTAGATCAATTTACAACGGATTCATCTTTCAGAAAAATCATGTTACTAAAAAGAGTTATTAACTAAATAAACTAATAAATAAGTGGAAATAATACTATTATCGCTTTTCAATTTTTTTTAAAATGCACTTCTAAATACGCCTCTATGACCTATCTTCCTCTTCAATTTCTACCATTCAATTTTAAAGCCATAAAAATGATCTCACAAATTATGTTTACATGTCACACGTGTTTACTAATCCATTGTTTCTCTACCAATAAATCGGCGTTCGATGGACAGGCAAAATTCCAAGCCGGATTTTTCTATTTTATTTCAGGACCAGCTTTATCCTGCAGGTGATTTAGTGTTGGTTTTATTTTTTTCAATTAATAGCCCATTACGGAGCAGAACACACTTTGAGCAATTTATGTTCGATTATGAGCTAAGTAAACGATTATAAATCAGTATAGTTTAAAGATAACCGTAAGAATTAATAATATAAAAAGCAAAGATGCTGTTCAAATTTATTAGTGTTCCGACATTAAATTATATTTAAATTAAGCAGAAAAGATTTAAACTCGAATATTAAAAATATATGCTTAGACAATATTTTTTAACGTTTTACCTAGGGCAGTAATGTATATCCGAGTGCCCTCAACAACAAACAATCTTACATTGCCTCGATATGAATAAAAAAATAAAAATAGTGTTCGCAGACTTTTAGTTTTGCCTGATAGATGATTTTATATTGTTATCTCTTCGAATAGATGATTTTATTTATATTATAAAGGTTTTAATAGAGAACTAAACTCAATTTCTTTATTAGATCGCAAATCAATCTCCATTTTAAAATGTTACATGCCATTCACATCGATATTTAGGTAACTACTTTCGCAACATTTCCCCGGAAATTGAGGCTATAAAATATTTACTACACTTTTACTACCTCTACGAAGAGAAGAGTATGTGTCGTCAATTTTATTATTTTCTTACTGAAGTAAGATTGCCCCAACTTCATTTTATTTTATGACAATAAATATTTGGATACAATATTACGCGCACTCATTTAAAAAAAAATACGTTACGCGAATTGTAAACTTTGAAATCTCGATGAAAGTTTGATTGGAGATTGAAGGGAAGCAAAGGGAACTATTTATACAATGGATTTAGTCCAATAGTTGCGCTTATTGGCTTACTCTATGAATGCTAACTAAGTGTTTGTTCAAATTTAATCCACTATTGTACGGAATTTCCGTTATCTGAATTTTAACTCAACTCTTGAAGTACTTAAATCAGTAATTAATGCGGAGGGAGAGCGGCATTGAGCGTAAAATTGAGCATTACTTGCTTTTGCCCTATTTGCATTAGTTTAGTGCCATAAGGGTAAGAGAATAGGATTTTTCCAAATCTCATTTTATCAGGGCATTGATTACATCGAGCAAATTTTGATTCACTTTTAGCCAACAGCATACAATTCCAATGGCAGATTCGTTTTCCAAAATTTACTAGCAGTTTTGGATCAACTTCCGTTATATGTTTAAGTCAAAAGCAGAAAAACCAAAGTGCCAATTTTCCTGCTTAAGGATTTCACACTTCCATCGAGAGATAGTTTAGCAACCTGTTTTGGCTGTTGATCGAGAAGTTTGAACTTGAACTAAGACTTGCTTGTTTTGCTCCATAGGGAAATGCCATCAACCATTTTTAACTCCACAAGTTTTCGCGACATTTTAAAACACTCCATAAAAAGCAATACTATATTTTAAAATATTTATTTAAGTAAATCAAACAGCTTTACACACCGCATACAATGCAAGCAGGTTGTTCTTTTAATTGTTTCTTGCTTGCTCTACAAATAGCATTATTTTGATCCATCTGGTGTTCACGTTAAATATTTTGGTTATTCAGCAAACCGTTTTGCATTAGAAATTAAACCGGAATAAACAAAGATAACAGCGGAAATTTGCGCACTTTTATTTTAGGTAGCACAATATGCATTATAGGGAGTTGGTAATATGGTGAAATAAATTGAGCACAAAGGGCTTAAAGGGTACACTCACGCTACCAAACTACGTTAATAACCATGAATTTACGGTGAACTTTTAGGTCGATAGGATGAGATTATGCTATAATAGGATTGACATTCTAAGTTAAATCTGAAAAGTTTTTCTAATGGGAAAAAGTTTCTATCAGTTTTAACAGATTTGCGCTTTATTTTGGATAAGGTTTCATCTTCTTTTGGAGGTGGATAATCATTGCAATTATTTTTTTTAAGGAAGCTAAAGCTACGTTAGTACTTCTTAACAAGCAACTTCTTTTTACTGTAGCAATTTCGTAACTACATAAATAAAGGCAACGCTCTCGCTTGATATGTTTTCTTTTTCGCAATATTTTTTTAAAGTTGATTATTTTATTACTTTAATGCAAATGTACAAATATTTTATGTCCACAATGCTCTTTTACATCTGAAAACAACGTTCTCAAATCCCAAATAAATATCATCTATATTCCTTGGAACATAAATTAAATTTGGTCGTACGACAAATGTTTGGCATTCTATTAGGTTAGAATGAATTCAATAAAAGAATATCCCGAATGTCTGATCTTTCGACATGGGCTCGATAACAAATAAATGCCTGAAGGCATGGTTCTGCTTGATGGAAGGCTCGCATTATAAACTAACGATTTTCTTAAACCAGCTTGGCAATTGCGAATGTTTCTTTCAGGAAAAACATACACAAATCAGAAATAATCAAAAAATATTGCAGACACTTATCGTCGATTTTCAGTTGATAATTTAATATATATGGAAGTTAAAATATTTAACGTATATATTAAAAATACTTACTAAATATGTTTTTGTATAAGAATTAGCAAACGATTTTGTATTTGTTGTTTTACTCAGTCTAAGCATATATGCACACCCACAAAGGGAATTTGCCTGTTTTTTTAAACACACACATTCTCTAAGCTTTTCAATTGCTCCAACAATTTCTTCTGTATTTATTCAGTCATACCATGCAGATTTTTACAGTCAGACTCTATTATGATTTATGTGCTCGATGCTTTGTGTTTCTAATTTAATTTGTATAACTTTTTACTTCAGGATTGAAAATACTGTTTTTGAGACATGATTGAAATCATTATTGCGAAATAGTCATTCAGCTGAACTTGCAAAATCAAACATGAAATTAAATAGAATCTTAAAAGATTGTACTTACCGATGAGCTAAATATTAATCTAAGTTTGATTATTCACAAATATCCACTATATGAGCAATAAAAACAATAAGTTAAATAACGGCTTTAATTAATCGAACCATCAGATAAATTGCTGTACTTGTTTATCATTTATTTGTTCATAATTTTTTAAACTGCATATTTACATGCATGTATTTTCCGGATATTTTTGAGTTAACTCGTCCAAATTTGCAAAATCTATGAATTTAAACTGAACTAAGTGGTTTTGCATAATATTTTCATACAATAATAATAAGTGTTTTACCTGTTTTTTAATGAAACTTTAATTTCCATTTTTTGGTGCCATTTGCATCAAAATTACCCATAATTTGGCACGAAAGTTTGTTGACTAAAAACTGAGTGTAATTGTGATGGATATCTCCCGAGTGAGAAAAGTAAATCTGTTTTTATTTTATTCAAATTGTTTTTTCAATTCAATTCTTCATTAAATTA